TTTCTCGAGGGGTGGTTGGAAAGAAAAATAGTGTCGGGGGCTAATAATGTGGTGGTGAAAGCGTTGTTCTCTTTATGGGAGGTAGGGGTGGCAATGAGTCGAGTCCGACTGAACTTGGAACTATATGTGAATAGTATTTGGGTCCAAAATTTACACCCATACCCAGACCTGAAGTCGGGTCTAGTCATCGAGTCCCGAGCCTGGTCAGGTCCATTCCCACCTTATAACTATGAGCCTCTTTTTTTTTTTTACCATCATATACCCATATTGTTAGCAACATTCACATTATTTATGAATACCCACATTCTTTATTGATTTACATAAGGGAAAGTATATAATGAGACTATTTATCTTTGGTACAAGATGGTCACAATTAATATTAACCATTGGATGTGAAATTGAGTAGTTGCATTTATTTTATTGATCAAGTTCAAAGTTTAAAGTTCAAAAGAAATTATATCGAACTATGTGACATACCCAAGCTATCATATTTCACATAAGATGGTTGTAAATAATTATGACCTCCCTGTACCAAAGGTATTACATAATAACTGAAAATTATTAAGAAACAAACGTATTGGCAACATTTATGAATACCCACCACATGCACCCGTATTATTCGTGTCCGGTTCTGGTTGGACCCAAACCCAAATAGTATTCAGGTCCAGGTTTTAGACCCAACCTGACCTTTCAGGTCCAAAATTTAAACCTATACCCAGACCCAAGATTGGGTCGATCCATAAGGTCTCGGGTCGTGCTGGGTCCATTGCCACCCCTAAACAAGGCAATACCTACCATCTACAAGGTATATGTAATTTTATCTAAAAGATATTTTAAAAAAAAAGGTGCAGTTGGCATACGGATGGATCTATAGTTATAGATGTAAGGCGCACCTTCAAATTTTATCATGGTATATAATTTTGATGTAAAATGTTATTAGGATTATCTCAAAATCTATTTTTATATCTAATTATAAAATTTAAAATTTAAAAAATGGTTAAAATCAAGTAGATCTATAAATATATGAAAATCTTGAAAACGGACGGTGTAGATAATATGTTGTAAAATGCACTATTTATAAGACTTAAAATCTTTCTATTTTTCATGGTCTTACATGTCAATTTCGAGATGATCAATCAAAGGGTTTTTCAACATTAAAACTACTTGAGATGATTAATCAAAGGGTTTTTCAACATTAAAACTACTTTTTCCATCTTTATATAAACTTTTTCCTTAAAAAACTCCTCCTGTTTTTAACGGAGTATAATGGAGGTTTATTGTTATTTTCACAGTTTGTTTATGGTTACATCTGCTGCTCATCTTGGGCCCACCTCTCCACTTGCCGCATCCCATTTGCTCTAAACGCACGTCATTTTTCCAAAAGACGATCTTAACCTTCCTTCCTTATTTATTGGAAATGAAATTCTTACATTTAATGAGACACTTCCCCACGAAACTACTATGGCTGCGTTTGAAAGTACACATTTTCCATTTAGGTCAATTTGGGTGAGCGTCCCTTATTGGGCGGGGTACACTCTTTTTACTTTATTATTATTATTATTTATTAATTTGTGCTCATACAATATCAATATTGCTCATACAATTCAAAATATATACATTTTTTTAATATGGAATTTTGAGAACTACTTAAAAGTCGCTGGATAATTATTTTCAAAAGAGAAAATTGAGTTTTAAATTTTTGAGTTCTTGCCGCTTTAAGGCGTTAACTTTTTCTAGTACGTACAAATTTTATATCCCCAAATTTAGGTAATAAAATTACTCCAGTTTATCAAGCAAGTAAATCGACAGTATACTCATGCAAGAATATAAATCTTACGACTTTCTCAAAAAAAATAAAAAATAAAATAAAGGAATGAAAAAGAAAAAAAGAAAAAGAAAAAAAAGGTCGTTACCCTTGAATAGCAAGGGACCAAGTTTTCTTTTACCATCCTAAAAGGCCACATGGAGCATAATTGTCCTTGCATGGTCCCTAACTGGAACCCAAGTCCACTGACAAGAAGAGAATCGTACGGTGTACCAAGGTCTGCTGTATGGTACACCATGAGGGCTTCCACCGCAGCGTAGGAAAAATTGGGCCCTTAACCGCCTGGTGAATAGAACCAGCCACTGGCCGGTTCCCGGTTCTTATTGTGATGAATCGGGTGGGTATTTTAAAAAGGGAAAAGTATATATTGAGCCCAGGCTCTAAACAATCAAATTTGAATGTATATTAAATTACATTAGAAGAAGTTGTTTTGATACCCAAATATCTTTAAATTGATAATCTCGACATCAAAATGTATGGATATGAGAAAAAAAATAGATTTTAAGTTTTTGAAATAGTGTATTTTGTAACATATTTTTGGACGATTAATTTTCAAGATTTTTAAATTTTAATAGATCTCTTGATCTTTGAAGCTTTAAACTTTGTAAATAATAGTATTTTAAAGGTATCACAAAGATTTCCAACAATGAAACCACATTTCTTGACACTATTTAAAGGTATGTTCTAATTTGATTGTTTAGAGCCTAGGCTCTGTACAAACCGCACCCTTTTAAAAATAGGGAAAATTAATTAAAGGAATAAATTTATATAAGGTTGCAACCTTAAAAAGTAAAAATGTACTTCAAAAATCTATGGGAAAGGTAGTTTTAAGGTTGAAAACCCTCTAATTGATCATGTATGAATATTAAAAAAAAAAGTATTTGAGTCCCAAAAATAGTGTATCTTTCAACACATTATCTAAACCGTTAATTTTCAAGATTTTCATATGTTTATAGATCTACTTGATTTTAACCATTTTTGGGGTCTAAAATTTCTTAATTAGACAAAAAAATAGTTTTTAAGATAATCCTAATAATTTTTTACAACAAAATTATATGTCATAAAATTTGGAGGTGCGCCTTAATTGGATTGTGTAAGGTTGCAACCTTATAGAAACCGCACCCTTAAGTAAATATCTATTTTAGTTTCCATTAATATCATAATACCGAATACTTACGTTATTATTGATATGTCGTTTTTTTTTTTTTGGACTTCATAACATTTTTTTTAAAAAAATACGAAACTACTATTTTCGATTTTTCAAAAACAAAAATCAGGTAAATTTGGGTTTTTGAAAAACTAAAAATTTTAAATTTTGGATTTTTAGAGAACTGAAAATTTTTCTCGGTCATGTGTATACTCCTTCTACCTCTCTCCCCCTTTTATTTCTAAACGCCATCTCTGAAAATCTCTCTTGGCTAGCTGATGTAGTTGTTTCCACCATGTTGCATCACAAAACACATCCATGTGATCATAATACTTCCATGGCCTTTTTGTGACTTGAGAATCAGTTATTTGGTTTGTGGTTTTAAGAGAGACAGAGAGATGAGAGGGAGAGAGAGATTCCAGTACCGTTCTGATGGGAGCCACTTTGCAAGTATCCCAAGCGAGAAGCAACCGGCTGCTAATCCTGAGAAGGGGTCTTCGTCTCAAGCTGAGCATATAAGCGCAGACGAGTTTCAGGTGAAGAAGAGGGCAGTGATTCTCCTCTAAGGGACCAATAACTCCAACTACTTGAGAGGAATATCAGAGTCTTAACAACTCAGCTTGAAGCTCACAATTTGAATTATGGGCTTGACCGAAACCAGAGAAAAGATCATGCTGAGAGATTGGTTGGAGTCCCAAACAAACTTGCATACGCTCTTGGAAGAATTACATAAAAATTGTAGACAGATTTTCACAGGTGGTGATTGAGGGGGAGAGAGTTAGAGAGATAATACGCGGAGGGAGAAAAAATTTGGGTTCTTGAGAAACGAAAGTTTAAAATTTTCTGTTCTAACAAACAAATTTTTTTTGGTTTTTAAAAAATTGAAATTGGCGTGAATTCGGTTTTTAAAAAACCGAAAGTGGGTAGTTTCATCTTTAATTTTTTAATTGTTACGAAGTCCAAAAACAGGCATGTAAGTAGTACCGAAAAATATTCGTTATTTTAGTGATAAGGGAAACTAAACAGGTATTTAGGTAATTTTTTTTTAAAAATAAATTTAAAAAATTATATAAAATTTCAAAAAATAAAGTATTTTGTTTGTAATATATTTTTTAATATTTTCATCATTTTGGCATGGATTGAAAATTGTTTTTTTTTTATATTTTTCCATTTTAAAATTATTTCACAAATACCTCTGTACACAAATCTATTTTTTCATTAATTTTCAAGATGTTTTGTTTAATCCTATTTTAAATATGTTTTTCATATTTATTAGATTTTTTTTTTTTTTTTTAACACTTACTACCGAGGACATACCCGATTGGACGGTTTTAACCGGCGGTTTATGGATAGGCTAGTTGAACCGCTTCCTACCCCCATATCTTGTTAACGGTTCCTGTTAGATTTTTCCTACAATGATTTCGCCGTCTAGTTTGAGAGATGAGTGAGTATAGTTAATTCCTAAGGAAAATCAGCCACACGGTTAAATAATCTCTAATTCTCCATTGTCTGTGTGTTTGAAAACGTAACATGGCGTTCCAGAAACATGTAAGGTGCACTGGCGTTCCAGAAACTTGATTCAAACTTCAAATTGGTGAATCAGGTAGGTGCCTTAAATCTAGACCTATTCCCATTTCCCATAAGGAAGCTGGTCAATTTAGAGATGATTTTCAGTCCAATTCGACGATTCTCAATATGGACCACCGGGTTGTTGAACATTCGTTAAGATGGACGGTGGTGCATCGTATTTTTATACACCAGTGGTGTATGCAATGCTTTAGAAAGAAACAGCCTGTGTTCCACAAGGAAACACGAGGATCCCGTGTATTTTAAAGCGTGTTGATTGTCGAATATTTAGATGACCATTCTCGAAATTTCGTATAAAAATAAGTGCCAATCTAATCATCTTACAAATAAAATGAGAACATAACCGTCACTAATAAAAAGGTTAAGGGCTCTTTAGTAATCTCCCCTGCGGCGGAGGAGAGAGAAAATTAATTTCATTTGATTTTATTTCGTGAGAGTAAGCGCTATATAGGGTTTCCCACTACGTAGAAATACCTGCAACTTTTCATTTCTCAATGTAAAAGATCTCCCTTCTCATCTCGCTCTCTAGCGCCTCCCTCTTTCTCTCTCTTGTTTCAGAGAGAGGTTAGAGGTTTTTATCTTGAACAAAATAGCAAGTTATCGCGAGTTTTTTCATTGAAATAGCTGGTGATTTTTTAGGTTTTTTCGTACACAGTTTGAGAGAGCATTTGTGGAGTTTTCCATTACAGAAACCGGTAAGATCCCCGGGTTTTTCAAGGTTTTTTTCTATACAGGAACCAGTGAATATTCAAATATTTTTAGGTTTTCTTAAAGTTTCCGCCATTGAAGTTGTTGTAAACATCGCCATCTTTTAGCCTTTTCCCCTAGCCCTTCGTCTTAGAACGTTTGGAAATATAGAAGCTTTTGTAGCGTTTTCTGAAGTTATCTGATTCTCTGAAGTGATCTTCCGATAAATTTGACGATTACGTGTTTCTTTTGTTATTTTACAAGTTATTGTTTGGTAGATCGCTGGTTTTCTTCCTTGATCGGTGATGTGTGAGTTTTTTTTTTTTTCATTTTGCTTTCAAATACAATAGATTTTAGGTTTTTGTTCTTTAATAGCAAGGGAAGTTTGCCTATTTTTGTTTGGTAGTTTATTTTCCAATTAGTCAGGGATTAAATTCCTTTTTCTTTTCGTGTTCAATTTTTTTGTGCTCCATCTGATGTGGATCGTATGTTTATGCGCTGTTTTTTCAGTTATTCTTTCTGAAGAGATTTGAGGATTGACCATCGTTTATTGCAACTCCTTTTGCTCCAATAACCAGTGAAGATCCCCAACTAGTGAGCCTTTTAGGCGCTCTTCTTCAAGAATAGTTTTTTTCTTAAAGAAACAGGCTATCTTACAGCTTTTTGTCTCAACAAACCTCACTGGTTCTCTGGTTTAAGCTCGATTAGAAAGTCGAAGATCATTTGGAAGTTTTCTTGAAAAATTTGTCGATCTCTCAATCATCTGATCAGAAGGATAAAACCTCAGCCATGATCTCCTTGAAACACTCTGCAGCTCCTGCTGCTTCTCATCTCATTCAACAGCGATCTCCTTTGAAGAACCCAGGTTCATCTTCCTTTGCCCCTCTTCTCCCCGCCAAACCCTCAAAGTCCTCTATGTTTACAGGGAAACCCCTCTATATCTCTGCAATTAGATCACTATGTGCATGCACTGAGCAAAAAAGCAGGGGTCTTAAGGTCAAATGCCAAGCTTATGAGGCCGATCGATCAGAGCCTTTGCGTGAAATTCACGTCCCTGATATACAGCAGAGATCAGAAGCAGCTCAAAAGCTTAAGATCGGTATATACTTTGCAACATGGTGGGCTTTGAATGTTGTGTTCAATATATACAACAAGAAGGTCCTTAATGCGTTCCCTTACCCATGGCTCACTTCCACCCTTTCTTTGGCTACTGGTTCATTAATGATGATTCTTTCATGGGCCACAAGGATCGCAGAGGCCCCCAAAACTGATTTCGATTTCTGGAAAGCCCTTGCTCCTGTAAGTTTCCTTATATTTTGATTTTTATTTCTTTATTTTTTTATACTTCTGCTTGATTGACATTTAGAATAGATCTTGTTGGTGTCTTTTGTTTTCTTTCTTGGGGTGTTTGGTTTGGTTGAAATTGAAGGGTGAGAACATACAAAATTCATTGCGTTTTTTCTGGGGTTTTGGGGTTCAATTTTTCGTATCTTGGGGTGTTCTGTTTTTGTTTTATGGGGGTTTTGTTTGGTTGAGTGACTAGAACTTTCTTGTATTTTTTCGTCTCTGACCAAGTGAAGTGTCTCTATATTTTCGTGTCTGACTTGCCTTTGATGCGAAATTCATTTTGGCATGTTTTCCTTACAGTTCCGTGATGGATATCATTCAATTTCGGTTGTTCTTTTTTTTTTGGTCTTCAGAAGTAAATTGGATGTCCATTTGTGTGAGTTGTGGTTTTCATATCCATCTATTATGATTTAACAGGCATACATCTATTAAATTTATCTAGCAATTTATAATTCACCGTGGTAGATTAGGTAAAGGAGGATGATACATATAAAAGACGATTTTACTAAGATAAAATATTTTTTATGACTTTCCTACTTCACTATTTTTGTCAGAAAAGATGGTTTTTCATTGAAATTTTCATGCTTTCATCCATGAATTTTGATAATTCGGTGAGAAATACATTATCTCCATGAGATTAATTATATATTGAGAAGTATATGATCTCTAACAAGTGAAATAATGGGGGTTATGCACTTTTATTTTCCTGATGAATTTCTTAGAATGTAATAATTATTAATGGAATTTATTTAATGTTTTTTTTTTGGTTCATCTCGTATTTGGCATTTCCAGGTAGCCATTGCTCATACAATTGGGCACGTTGCAGCCACTGTGAGCATGTCTAAAGTGGCGGTGTCATTTACTCACATCATAAAGAGTGCTGAGCCCGCTTTCAGTGTGTTGGTGTCGAGGTTCCTTTTGGGTGAGACCTTTCCAGTGCCCGTTTATCTCTCACTCTTGCCCATTATAGGAGGATGTGCCTTAGCTGCTGTTACCGAGCTCAACTTCAATATGATTGGTGAGATACATTTCTAGCTGTGAATGCTTCACCATCCCTTGATGATGTCAATGAATCACTAGAGACACCCAAGTTTGTAATTTAAGTGCAGAGAGAGAGAGACTGTTTTTTGCAAGGTTTGAAGAGTTGGGGTATGTGGGAGTTAAATGGAGTATGGAGGTTTTAGAGAGAGAAGGGTGGAGGGGGGAGGTGGTTTACGAGTGCTTGACTTTTACAAGGTTCAAGAGAGGTGGGGATATGGAAATTGAAGGGGTCTATATGAGGATTTTCTTTCTTTTGTTTCCTTGTGTTGTGAGAGAGAGAGATTGCCTTGCCCTTTCAAAGTTTGAAGAGAGGTGTGAGTATGGAAATTGAATGGGTCTGTAAGGATTTTTGGGTTCTTGTGTTCTATATGGAGGGGGTAGAGAGGGAGGCCATAATGTTCAAGCCTTGTCTTTAGTAAGGTCGTTGTATAGAGAGGTGAGGGATCTGGAGTTTTGAGTTGAATGTGGGGTGACTGAGTTGTTTTTGGTTTGTTGTTGCTTTCTGCAGGGTTTATGGGGGCCATGATATCGAATCTGGCATTTGTGTTTCGCAACATATTCTCAAAGAGGGGGATGAAAGGGAAGTCGGTTAGTGGGATGAATTACTACGCCTGCCTCTCCATTCTCTCTCTCCTCATTCTCACTCCTTTCGCCATAGCTGTGGAGGGCCCCAAGATGTGGGCTGCTGGCTGGCAAAAAGCGCTCGTAGATATTGGTCCGCACTTTGTGTGGTAAGCAAAAAATATCCACCTCAAATTACTTCCTCCTCTTCCTCTTGACATCGAATTTTTCACCATTTTAACTTGCTCTATACTTTTTTTCTGCCTTTACTGAAAATTGTTCTTAGGCCTGAATTTGAAATCAATGAGATTAGATTTGGATTGCTGGTTAGGCTTTATATCCTTTGCAAAAGACATTGATTAGAGATTGCTAGTTTCTTTTTTTTTTTTCCAACTAAAATCTTGAGTTTCATGCCCTTTTGTGATTGCTGTGTTTCTTGGTCTTTGTATGAATCAGTTACAGAAAACTTCGTATAGAAATAAGGTCCACCTCAAAAATCTATCGAAAAAGGCTGTCTTGATGTTGGAAAACCCTCTAATTGATTATTTGGACATCTTGACATACAGATGTATGAGAATGACGAAAAAAAAGATTTCAAGTCCCAAAAAATAGTGCATCTTGCAATACATTATCTAGACCATCTATTTTCATGTTTTAATCAATCCACTTGATTTGAACTATTTTTGGAGTTCAAAATTTTATATGTAGAGATGAAGATAGATTCTTACGCCATTTTAAGAAATTTTGACACCAAAATTACATTTTATTTTAGCTGCGTGCCTTATTATTATTTTTTGAGTAAAAGCACTGTGCCTTATTTTAATTGCTAAGGTTGCAATCTTATGCAAACCATGCCCATCAATTATTGTTTTGTATAAAATATTGATATCCAGGGTAGTTTTCTGGAATTGGGTTACAAATTTTCTTTCATCTCTCTTTCTATCTCACTCTCTGTGTGAACTGTTTCTTTGCTAATTGGTGACATCGATTTGTTTGTTATTGGGAATTGATTTGGGTTGGATGTTCTATGAATAATGAATAAATGGTTGAACAAAATTTTTACAGGTGGGTTGCAGCACAGAGTGTGTTCTATCACCTGTACAACCAGGTGTCTTACATGTCTTTGGACGAAATCTCTCCCCTTACCTTCAGCGTTGGAAACACAATGAAGAGGATATCAGTCATTGTGTCCTCTATTATCATTTTCCACACCCCAGTTCAGCCCATCAATGCCCTTGGTGCTGCCATTGCCATCCTTGGCACCTTCTTTTACTCTCAGGTAAATAATTTTACGTAGTTTTTGTTTCGATATCTGAGAGAGAGAGAGAAAGAGAGAGAGAGAGAGCATTCTTATAGAGAGACGTAAAAAAAAGATATTTTAATAAGGACTTGTATACAATGAGACCATTTAGCTTTAGAGAGAGAGAGAGCATTCTTATAGAGAGACGTAAAAAAAAAGATATTTTAGTAAGGACTTGTATACAATGAGACCATTTAGCTTTAGAGAGAGAGAGAGAGCATTCTTATATAGATACGTAAAAAAAAAGATATTTTAATAAAGACTTGTATATAAGGAGACCATTTATCTTTAGTACAAGAAGGTCACAATTACTAAACCATCCAATATCTTATAACCATCCGGTGTGAAATATGATAGTTTGGGTGTGTCACAAAATTCGAGAAAGTTTCTTTTGAACTTTGTGAACCATTCTAGGATTTATTCATCAGAAAGCATGGAAATTGTTATCATGTTGGCCCTCACCATTGTAAATCACCATTATTACGAATGTTGATAGTTTTTTTTTCACTGAACAAGATTTGGGGATTGTACATGCTATGCTATGAGACTGTTTATTTTTATTACAAGAGGTCACAGTTCCTTGTAGCTATTAGATGTTAAATTGGATCGTAGGGGTGTGTCAAATTTTTATTGAATTTTTTATTCAATGACACTTACACGACCACCAAATTTCTCAAATCAGACATACAAGAGTAATTGTGACTTATGATAAAAGTAAATGGACTTTTATATACAATCTCACTTTTTCTTTGTGCAGATTCTTTAGCTAACCTTATTTCTTTATATTTATACTGAGTAGTTTCATGCATACCAAACATGCCCTTAATACATTTAAAAAAAAAAAAATTCATACATTTGTTGAAGGTGTGTTATGGAACTATATATGGTGTTAGTTGTGAAACTTTGTTTATGGTTATAATGGTGTGCTTATTTGGGGTTCTCAATCTCGTGATTTCAGGCAAAGAGCTAAACTTTGGGACCTAAATTCTTGGTTCTAAGAGGAGCCATAGTGGGCAATGGCGTTCGATTTTGGCACGGGCTCTACATCCACCATCCATTCTCTTTTGACCCTTCATACTCTAAAGTCTGTTGTAGATATTGTGGTCTCTCGTCCCTTCCTCTTTCCCTCTAAGAATTTGTTTCCATATTTCCATGAAATTGCAATGGTTGTTTGGTAGTGGTTTTGTATTCAGGAGGCTGAAATAAGGAATGCTTTTTGAGGCGGATCAATAATAATAGAATCAATAAACGTGGAAGAGTTTGTTAATTGACTGCCGTTGTTCGTTCATTCAGATTGTGTGAAAGAATCTGAGGCCTACCACTGTCGCTATTATTACATGTGAGTGGTGTTAGGTGCGTGTATGGCGCAAGTTGTGGTTGAGTGACATGTGATGAAGTAGCCGTGACCTAATTTTATTATTTGTATTTTGGTTGGGTGCGTTGAATAAAATGCGGCCTAGTATACATCCCACCTGGCTTGTTGGGCTTTTGCTGTTGAGGAACGCGTGCGAATCTCTTATTCCTGACATTGGTTGGTGTTCTCGTTTCGTAGTCACGGGAGTGAGAGCGAGAGAGAAGGGGAAGGTGGGTAGAGAAAGTTGAGAGAAGGGGTCAAAAAGAAATTAGGCGGTTATTTGACTTTTTTAAATCCGGGTAGATTACCTCGGATGGTCTGGTGGACGGGTATAAGTTAGGAAAGAGTTGAATTTTTGATCGAAACTTCAAAAGTGGGCTTTGGAGAGGAAATTTGGACTATTTTAAGTTGTTTTCTATACCGTTAAGGCACGTTTGCTTCACATGAAAATATTGTTTTATATTTTCGTATGAAATTTTTGTTTTCATGCGGTTAAGTGTGGGAACATTTTCATATTAATTGATTTTAGTGTATTTTTTCATACCCATTGACAACTAACTGATATAAAAATATTCTCAGATTTAACTGTAGGAAAAGTTTATATAGAGCCGAGGCTAAACAATCAAATTTGAGCCTACCTCAAAAATTTCACTAGAAGAGGTTGTTTTGATGTTCAAATATTTTCAAATTGATATCTCGACATCAAGACGTACGGACTTGAGAAAAAAGTGGATTTCAAGTTTTGGACCATTAATTTTCAAGATTTTCAAGTTTTCATGTATCTATCGAACTACACTATTTTTTAAGCTTTAAACTTTATAAATAAAGATGAAAATATATTTTAAGACTATCACAAATATTTTCAGTATTGAAACCACATTTCTCGACACTATTTGAAGGTAGGATTGTTTAGAGCCTCGGCTCTGTACAAACTGCACTTTTTAACGACATGAAAGAATTTTTTCATACAAACCGAACATACACTTGAGGGCCGTTTGGATGCCTAGAAATATAGTGTGAAATATATTACCTGCAAGCGTAATACATTACCTGCAAATAGATTGTTATTGTTTGGGAAGTATTTAAATACAACTTGAGAAATACATTTCTTGGTTATGTCCATGAGAAATATGGAAAATGCATTACAAACATTTCACCAACACTTGCCTATAAACTATCATTTTTTCTTTTTTGGTCACAAAATTCTACTGAAATGTAAAATTAAAATCATTATCACATCATTCCAAAAAAAAAATTTATTAATAACATCATCACCATTCCAAAAATATTTTTTAATAATAACTTGTACTATTAAAGTCATCATCACATCATTTCTTACTTATTTTGTATGCCTTTGACACTTACATTGAATCACATGTCTTCTAACATGATTAGACTTTGGTTTCAACATGAAAAATCATTGGAATAACATATTTTTATTGTGATAAGCGTTATTTTTATTTATTTTTTATAGAAATATTTCAAATGTTTCTATATAACTTCAAATAAGCAATAAATTGATGGTACCAAATTCAAAATCTTTACCGTAAGAGGAGACGAAAGAGATAGTGCTTATCCATACCAAAATATCTTTATGGTAAGAGGAGACTAAATAGATAGGGCTTATCCACACTAAAATAACTTGTTAAAGAGAGAGGGAGCACTATATGTAAACCACTTATTAGGTTTCATGAGAGAGAGGGGCATGCTTAGAAAAGAGGGAGCACCTTAATAGAGAGGGGGCAGGCTTAATTGAGAGGGGCAGGCTTAGAGAGGGAGGGAGCACCTTAACAGAGAGGGGGCAGGCGAGGGCAAGCTTCGAGCGAGTGGGAGCACCGGGGGCAGGCTTAGAGGGGGAGGGAGCACCTTAACAGAGAAGGGGCAGGCTTAAAGAGGGAGGGAGCACCGTAACAGAGAGGGTGCGGTTTAGAGAGGGACGGAGCACCTTACAAAGGAGAGGGGGCAGGTTTAGATAGGGAGAGAGCATCTATGCAAACCTAACAATGAAGAGAGAGGGGCAGGCTTAGGGAGAGAGGGAGCATCTATGCAGATCAGTTATTATGCCTAAAAAAGAGGGAGAGTAAGGCTTACCAGGGAGAAAAGAGTAGGGTTTAGTAGTAGAGAGAGAAACATCATTTTGGTAAGTTATTTATACGAGTTTGATGAGGGAAAAATGACTAAAGAAGAGAGAGAGTAGGGCTTACCAGTGAAAGGGATGGAAGAGTAGGGCTTAGTAGTGAAGAGAGGGGGATGGAAGAGTGGTGAAGAGAGAAACGTTGTTTTGATAAGTTATTTAGACGAGTTTGAGAGATGGAAAATAGCAAATTGGTATTTTTTAAGCAGGGGATTGGGGTAAGTTACTCACACGAGTTTGAGAGAAGAAAGGACAGGGATAAGTTACTCACACGAGTTTGATAAAAGAAAAATGGGGGGGTTGGTACTTTTTTTAAGCGGGTATAGAGCAGAGAGACCGTGGGAAAGATTTTCGAAAGATTGCCAAGTAATAAATATTTCACCTCGGGTTTCATGATTTTTTAGAAATTTTAGATAATCACTTTATATTTTCGTACTATTAAAGTTTATCCAAATAGTAGAAATATTATATTTTTTTGTAATCTATAAATATTTCACTCTTTGGGTTTTATAATTTTTAATTATAAAATTTTTAATTTTTTTATAATTAAAATTTACCAAACAATAAAAATATTATATTTTCTTATAATCTATTGTAATGTAATAGATTTCTAAATACCCAAGCAGCTCCTTAGTAACTAATACCATATATCAAGCAATCATAGAATTGTAATAAGGAGTACCAAATTTCTTTGTAATCTATTATAATGTAATAGATTTCCATACACCTAAACGACCCCTCACTAACCGGTAACAAGCAGACATATAGGATCGTAATAAAGAGTTTATGATTACTATTAACCTCAAATTAGATGACAAACATCATTACGAATATTTTTTTTGTAAATGTCATTTTGAAAGTTTTTCCTCGTAGAACGGAGATCGGATTAAAGACAAGGTGGCTTTAACAATGTCGTGAGTTAGGCTGTTGTTACATAAACTAACAGAGAGTGGAGTGATGTCACTGGCATCTGGAATATTCAATGGAGTAATGTGACTCGCATCTGTGGTATCGATATGGACCTCTCAAGGCCACCTAATTTTAATTAGATGCACGTGAAAGCTCTCAACCTTTATCATGCCGGAGGGTGAAACGAGCAGTAGGTATATGAATGTTATCAAATTTGATGTTTTCGGAATTTTAGGCATAAATTGAAGTGAAGTAAAGCCTGATGTTGCTGTTTCAGTCAGCTCCGGGCTATTTCGATCATATTTGGGTTTTTTTTTTTATATTTCAGGCCTATTACGGCTAGTAAAAAAATAACTATATAAAAGTATTTTTTTTTTTATTGTTTGTATATATTATACATATAAATATCTAATTTATTTATATTAATTTTTTTAAAAAAAATTTGAAATCTTCTTTTGTATCGACTAAAACATCCAAATACTTCATTTTTCTCACCAAATCGAAAGAAACTCTAAAAACGAATTTGACAATGTTGAATTATATGGCTTAATTGAGGTTATTCAAGTTGATCAAAGTTAATGACTGGCTGCATATTATTAGCCTCGCATCTTTATTTTTTCCAGCTTCCAAGGATGGGTAGTAAGGCAAAATAAAAGAGATGATATTCCCGCAATTGAAATGTATATATGAAAGGTCGAGCCAAATTTTAAGGTGTTCTGATTTAGGTCACATGACAAGAAATAAACTCGTAGTATCAACGTATCACCTGTAGGATATTAAGGGTGATGAAAGAAAATTCATAGTAATACCCCAAAAGCAAAGAGAATGAAAAAATTAGATAGCAGTAGATGAAAGATGAGGGATAAAAATTCAATATGGAGCTTAAGTGAGTGAGAAAAAAATATAGTGAGGTTGTTATCTGCATAGAATGTGTGATAGACATGTTGAAATCTTTTGTGAATATTATCATACAATGACGACTTCTACAAATTTATGAAAGGGTAAAATGTCAACCTTAAACAATCAAAGTAAGACGCACTCTCAAACTTGGTCACAAGATGTAATTTTGGTATTTGAAATTCTTAGGATAGCCTAAACATCTATTTTTATATCTAACTATAAAATTTTAAACTCTAAAGATAGTGTAGATTGAGCAAATTTATGAACGCTATAAATTTTTTGATAATGAACTGTCCAGATAATTTGTTACAAAGATGCAATATTTTTAAGACTTGAAATCATATTTTTTCTCTATATTCTTTTTTTTTTTTTTTAATTGGAAGGTTCTCCAACTTAATAACAACTTTTTGAGGTGGACTTTTTAGGCGCACATTGCTTCTATAAAGTTGATAGCTTATATAAATAAAAAAGGTTATACCTTATATAAACCATTTCCTCTATAAACATCCGTAAAAATTAATTCAATGGATAGATACTGGGCAAACTCCAACTAGTGTAGTCAAACAATAAAATCGCAGGTGCTAACTATTGGTACGTGTGAGTGGCCATAGAGCCTCATATGTACCATATTTATCTCTCTCTATCTTAATAATACATTTTAATATTTATCACTAAAAAAGGTTCTTAGACAGAGAATATGCTTTTATCCAATGGGTAGAAGATAACTACCCACCTCTTAGGAAAAAAGAGCCCCCTTTTTAGGGATTCCAAGAAGAAAGCCAAACGTTGAAAAACGGCCTCCTCCCATCCCTATATAACTAGGGTTTCATGGCTATGGAGAGGCACACAGAGAAAGACTGAGTTCTCAAGTATCGTCGTAAAACATTGATCTCTACTATTCACGGTCTTACGACATTGCTTTCGATTCCTAAGACTTTGGTGGGTTCATCTCTTCCCCTTAAAAGTTCAACATTAACATATCTGGACCATCTCTTCGTCACTTTCGTACAATTAATAGAGACACTTATAAGATGCTAATTTGTGTACAACTTCCTTTTTCATTTATTATGAGAGAGAGATAAGAAATGAAAAATTGTTTCATTCGGGCTGGACCACATTTCTACATATACGGTCTAGAAAATGTAAAGCATCCATCTTAAAGATGGGTGCAAGTAGGTGTTTCATCTAAAAAAAACGAATAGAAACTAACGGTCCAAATGTTTCTTCCTAGAATTATGATTTTTAGTTTTAAAATTTATTTATTTATCATATTCATGATCTTCATGTTA